AAAAAAAAAAAAAAAAAAAAAAAAAAAAAAAAAAAAAAAAAAAAAAAAAAAAAAAAATTTTTGAATTTTACAAATTGGTGATCATATTTGTAATCAGAGACCCCAAAAACACGCGAATAAGAAATTGTAGATGAATACAATAGTTTTTAAAATGTTTGTCCGCCATATTTTCAAGAATATAATCGATTTTTATAACCTAAACCAAGTTTGGAGAGAGGATAAACGAGTTTTCAAAACTTTATACGGCATATTGGACCCGCCATTTTGGATTTTAAATATTCGTATCCAGCGACCCCCAAAAAACCTTGAGTAACAAATTTCAAGTGAATCCAATCATCAATTCAAAACATTGTCCGCCTTATTGGAGTTAAAAAACGCCATCCATATAAATGAGTAAACATTCGAAGAATATAACCGATATTTTTTACCTGAACCAAATCAGTTGATGAAGAACGCCTCATATATATGTATTTAGGAATCTAAATTATTCAGATGTGGTAGTTACCCAATTTGCCAAAAGACTTTGAATCGACGCCTATTCCGACTCCTGGCGGCCCACAGTGGGGCAAAAAAAGTTGCGGTGTACAAATGAATTTTCAGAGCCCAAAGATGAACCGATAGCAAGTTTCTTTCTTCTAGGTAAGAGATAATAAAATTTCGCGTCGACTTATCCAGGGTGATTTTCTAAAAAGCTCTTGTTTTTTATTTATTTATGTTGAAAAATGAAAGAAAAAAGTTTTACGTTTGAATGCTTCAACTTTTTTGGAAAATACTTGAAATTAATTTTAAATGCCTGCAATTATTTGCAAAATTATTCATAAAAATTTTTCCATAGGATACATTTAATTAAAAAATGTTTTTAATTTGTTACCTATTCTAAAATATATTTTGAAAGCCGTTTTTCTGTTCGAAAAACTCGGGAACAGCTATACCGATATTTATGAAATGTTGGACATCGACTCTATACCCTCCAAGGATGATAATAGAAGAAAAATAATTTCGATGTATCAAAGGTTCTTGGCACCTCCCATATAAACTAAGGTTTCACAAAACATATCTCTGGAAGTATTCAACGTAGAGTGCTGCAATAAAGATATATAATATCAACGCCAAACTCATGGAAAAAATGGGAGTTATTGAATTTCTCACATTAGAAAAATTATGTCAAAAAGCTGCAACTAACTTTACAGTCAACTTTATTTTGACTATGACTACGCGCCAATCACTTTAATTATATTTTAAGCTAGTTTAAAAAATTAAATCAAATCAAGTTAGGGAATCTCCTATTCTTCTTAAACGTAATCGCTATATCTATAAATTATTTTATACTTTTTAGTTCTTGTAATAAAAGCGTATTTGTAGTTTTTTTTAAACTTTAATTTTATTTTATTTAAGAAGTCTATTTTACATCCGTAACTTTCGAAAGAAAGCTAAATTTTTGCCTCACTTAGGACCATTAGTCAGAAATTTTAACATACTTGTTAATCTAATACTTAAAACACATGGGATACACTAAACAACTACTAGGGAAGTTTTTGAGAAAGTTTGTTTACTAAACAAAAATTAATGTTAGGAAAAGTCGTTATCAGAGCGCTAATATCTTCCTATCTTACTATGTAATGGAACGATCAGTATAATAGTTTTTACGTGGGGGACGAATATATAGCTATAGATTGGCATTATCGTGTTTGGACTAGGCGGATTTCTTTTTTCAGGTTATGCCCATATGGATGTACAATGTACATATTTTGCAAAGTGATAGCTGAAAATATTTTGTATGGAAAATCAATTATGCCCATATATGTACATATTTTGATCAAATAAACATATTTCGAAAATATTAACCGATACTTCCCATACACCAAACCAATAGAAAAGGCCAGTACCAGGTACTCATGAAATTTGATGTGCCCGAACTAGTGCCGAAATGGTTCAGAACTGAACCCGAAAAGGGCTTGAGCTATGTCCTGAGCTAGTCCTAAAATTGTGCCGGACTAAAACCGAAAAAATACTGAACTCGTCCCGAAATGATCCGGTTATAATTCCGAAATATTCCCAACAGCATTTCAGAAAAGCTTAAAAGTATTTCAGAAAAGGCCAAATGAAACTCAGAAAAACGTAATTGCATTTCAGAAAAACTCAAAGGTATTTCTGAAAAGGGCAATTGTATTTCTTCAAGAAGTAATTCTAAATAAATGGTTTGTTCTATAGAGAATTTTCTGCTCCATGTTCTGGTATTTCTATTTTTTTGATAAGATTCATATAACATAAGTTCTGAGCGTTTTTTGGTGTTATCCTCGAAAATTTTATTAGTTTTTCATTAACTAACCATATTAGTAAAACACTTTGAACTCCTACTTTTTAATAAGTTGTTCAGGGTAATTTTCTGAACATTTTGGTATAAATTTGATCCAGCGCAGTCTAAATGAGACCCCAAATGCCAGATTGGCTGCATCACGAGTGTGCTAAAGCACCTGTACAAACGGTTGAAAGAAGTATGTGTTGAGTCAAATCGGTTTTTTTGGTTATAAGGTGTAAACAAGGTTATTGTTGTTTTGAATATATAAAAGTGTAAGCTATTTTTTCCACACCCTGTTATCTTACTCTTAATGATCTATATCATTTCGAACTTTATGCTGAAGTAGTTTCTAGGCAGATTCTGATCGTGTTGAATTCTCATACACATACATACATATCGTCGTTTTAAGTACAAAATCGCGTATCGTCATTCTGCAAAACCGCGTAACTGACATTTGCTGCCAAAATTTGGATTTGCTCGCACAAGCTCTTGGCTCAATCCTTATCCATTCGTCCAGAAATATACTAGCCAAAACTGCGATTGCTTCATAACAAAGAGAACCATTTTAAAATATGAGTGTTTTTACTGTCTAGAAAATAATTTATGCAAACTCGCATACGCGTGCATTATCATGATACGCGGTTTTGCATTTTGTTGATATGCGGCTTTGTACTTTAAACGACGGTATATAAGTAGTAGGTTTTTGGGAAACCTCACTTTTCTGTAGAGTGTCCCGACCAATATCAAGAATTGAGGATATAGGTCACCTTAAAGTGCATGTGTTCACATATGAACGAGATTGTACCCTGCAGTGAAAAGCTGAACCAGTAAGCACAAATTCCAGCTTATGAACTATTATTTAAGGATAAAACTCATTCTAGTCCGTTATGAACTATATTTATACCTGTCCTAATAGAAAATAGTAAACTAGTTCGTACAAATTCAAGTACGAAAACTGGTCGTCATTGGCAGTTCTCCGCAGTGAAATGCCGAACCTGCCAGTAAAAATACCAGTTCATTAACTAGTATGTGCTAAAGCGACGGCCTACCACTTCGAACAACTGATCGATCAGCGACATCTGTCAATGAATTGCCAAAATCAAAACTTAAATGCAATTATTTGCTTTCCTCGCAAATGTCGGCTGTGGCGTCGAGTGACTATCGATTCTGCTTGTGAGATCTCAGGTTCGAGGCCGCTTGGAGGTGACTAAAGTAAAGTAAGTCAATTATTTCAGATTAAATATAAAATATAAATTGTAAATTTAATTTCATTTGGAGAAAACTTAAATACTCTCAAATACCATAAAAAATTAAATCAAATATATATTTTTTTCTTTTTAAAACAATACAATTTAAAAACTACTACAAAATACTTAAAAAATAAAAATTTAACTAAAAATAAAAAAAATTTTAAAACAAACAAAACCCGCCATCAGAGATTCGAACTCGGACCCCTCGCACCCTTCGAAAGAGCTTTGCTATGTCGGCCATTGCCACTATTGTAGCGCCGCGATCCAAATGGCATAATTACATTTCACGGGGGATGAATTTGCAGTCCATCTCGTCAACTGGTAAGATGCTACTAGTATTTCTACTGGTAGGCTGCTGATGCAGTAGCTGGCAATTGACATCTCCTATGACACCGCCATGTTAAAACTACCAGACGCTAACATTGAAAAAGGATATAACGTGAACTAGTTGGGCGGCAGGATAATCTCGTGCGACACACACCACATCAACCCCAACGTACATATATATATAATACAAACATATTTACATGGGTTTGTATATCCCATGTGTGCATATTTGGTCCGGCGCTTGTATCCTGGCATGTGTTTGTGGCATTATTTTGCATAAAGATTGCAATTGTCAGATGTAATCTGAAGAATGCTCAAACGCGTGTACGTGTTTGTAGAAAAGTCTCGCAGAGAGCATACAAAATATGTGAATATTTGTATCTCTTGTATTGCAAAGGGAATTTAAAAATTGTTTGACGATGTGGCTTTGTTGCTATGGCCATACTTTTGACAGCATCACTCACGTTGCTAAAAAAAAAATATCTTGGGTAAATATGAAGTGTGACGAAGATTCGAGAATTGGTTAAGTTTTTTTTTTATTTAATTGAAATATGTAGTGGACGTGTTTAAGTAAATAATTTTGAACTCCATACTCCAAAAAACAATTCACAAATGTCACACACTTTATTTTAACTAAAAGAAAATATATTAAATAATTTTTGCGATTATATTTTATTATATGATATTCCTTCTGAACGTTAGGCCCCACCGCCCACTTTTCTTTTAACTTAAAACTTTTTTTAAAATATGTAAAATTGATTAAAAAACAAGCTTTCCAATGCCGAGTGGCAAAATAACGTGCGGGTCAATTTCAAGGTCATTTCGAGGTCAACATGGTTTTTTTTAACTGGTAACCCTCTTCTTATCTCGAATTCAGAAGGAACGGAATATTCTACGTTCAGATAACATATCATATGCGGCGTTCATTTGACCGTCAGGGTCATATGAAGCGTCAATCTTTCTATTCAATAACTTTTTTCCACCAAATTTACCAAACTACGATTAGAGGCATTTCATGCCACCTCTGTGCGCGATCTCTAAGGATTTGGATGAAAGTTGAAGAGATTGAAAGTCTAGGTGACATTAATATACGTGCAGCATATTTTGCCGATATGACGTAGGGTTGCCTATTTACACGGGACTTAAATTCTAAGGGTGTGATTATGCATACTTCGCATAACTTCGCACAACCATTTGTACCAGAGCACTAAAAGTGTAACTTAAGAAAATGTGAAGCAAAATCTAAACTCAACAGATCGCTAAGTTTTTAAAAGTTCTGCTAATTTCTGGGTAATAGAATACATACAAAGTACATACGAAATTAAAGTTTGAAGTTTATGAGAAGTTGTGCGAAGTTATGCGAAGCATGCATAATCAGACCATAAGAAAACGTCATAGTTACACTGAGGGAAATAATGCATAGTAAAAATGAATACTTTATATTTGATTATCGTTTAAAAATGTTCGTATTTAAAAATAATATTTTCATACAAAATTTATTACGCACGTATTTGACTGTTCACATCTGAGCATGCAGAGCGCCGCTCTTAGAGCGATGACAACACACACATAAATACATAGTACACACATGCATGTTTATCCGCACAAATCGCGTGCTGTGGTGTTGATGGATATTCAACATTTGAAAGCAAATTTATATGCCTGGGTGTAGCTGAGTGCGCAAAGATGCTTGCCACAAGTTGTTGATATCCGAAGATGGTCGGGTTCGAATTCCCTTTGCAGGAAACATGCAATTTTAATTTTGTTTTTTAGTTTTTGTCTTGATTATTCACTTCGCGGATGGTTTTTCAGTACGAACGCGGTCATTTTAATATGCGCGTAATTGAATTGAATATTTACCAATATACAGTACTTTCGTTGACGTTTATAGTAAGATCAATTACGTTTCTATTTGATTTTAATATTTTTTCCCCTCAGTGTACCTTTCTTTAAAGTGCTGTATCTTGGGAACCTTTTAACGAAACTGAATGAAAAAATGTATTTCTTCCGTCTTATTATGGGCTTTATTTATACATTTTTTACATTAAAGTGTAACGTATAAAAAAACAAAAAAAAATAGTAAACATTTTTCTTTTTAATTTTTTTTTTGGTGATAGCATTTTTTTTTAATTTTTTTTACATAAAAACATAATGTTAACTTTAGGCACCCAAATGGGCGTAATGAGCTACTTAGGCACATGGAGTCTAGATCGTCTAACGCTCGAGCAATAAAAAACAAAAACAATATGAATAAATCATATTAACTTTACTAAAGGGTCTGAAATTACGAAAATCCCTGTTGCAACAAAGTTCAATTCTACCATTTCCTTGAAAGGATTTTCAGTTTCCTTATAAGGACTTTTTTTGACTTACATGACATAAAGAGGTTCACGCATCGGAAGAATGTTGTAGTTGAAAGATCATAGAAAAAGATTACGCATGCTTAGAAAAGATCTTACAGGTGAAAATAAGACATCGAAAGGGATTCCATATAGTATCAGAGTGCTACAATACTTGTCCTACGTGTGAGGAGGGTTCTGCTCTTTAGCTGTTTCAACATACACTAAAAATTTTTACTTATCCATTTGCAGTTTTTCAACGCTATTTTTGCATTGGCCAACACAAAAGCGCTAATCAGGATACTTATAATTTACCTCAAAATTTGGCTTTACCACAAAGCAGTTTTAATTTCCATTTAATGACATGCAACTCTTAGTCCACAGCTACCAAGTTGTTTGATTGAGAAGTTATTCCAACTGGTATCATTGCACTCACCTGCAAAGAAAGTAGGAAATTTACAGAGTTGTGTAAAATGAAGTACATGCTGCATGTATGTACAGGTGAAAAATGGTCGAAAGTACTTAGAAACCTGAAATTTAATAAAAATTTTACAAAATAGCAGTGAAATTATGGCACTCTGAATGTTGGGAAATTTATACGTGTCGTGCATGGTACAATAATTATAGGTATTGTCTTCCCGGAGAGTTTTGCTTCACATCGAAATTCGTGCTCCCTTATTTTAATTTTTACGCAATACAATGTTGATTCTTATACTTTTATATGGCTTTGCTTTTTGGTTCCGCTCAATTTAATTTTTCTAATTTTTCAAAAGAAAAGAAAAAACATTTGAAATGAAGTGAGCCATACAAATTTTGAATTTATTTACAAGCAAATATTTTTTTCCGGCTTTTGCAAATTAAATAAGTTCTCTGTTTAAAAAAGTACGTGTACATATATGGTATATGGGGTATGGAAATATCCCTTTTCCCTAGCAGTAAACCTTTTAGTGTGGGCAACAACGATATTTTTTTAAATAAGGCAGATCGGAATATGCGCTCTCTAGGAGGACAATACCTGTAATTAATGTACCATGCGTGTCATGTGTATAAGTATTGTATTGCTAGTTTAGGAAATAATTTGTATGAATTCATGATACAATGACTTTTTGAAGTTAGCTATCTGACAGAAATCGTTATTCGTATATTTTGTGGAGCCAATTTATTAAAAAATAAAATCCACTTTTTGAGGTTGGAAAAATAAAAATAAAGCAAAGCTAAAAAGTTTTAAATATTGTGTTTTCGAGGCCAGTGTTAAAATTTCCTATTGGGTCATTGGTAGAGCTTTTCGGCCCAATGACCCAATTTTAAATATTTTTGATAAAAAAAACATTTAAAGAAAAAATGAGATGCTGCTTCCTTGAATATAGCAACACACACAATAGCTTTAAAGCACTTGAAATTTTCTGCTCTGCCGTATTTGCGATAAAAGTGGATGGAGGCTTGCGTGTTTTGTCAACAGATGGGATTTGTGTTAAAATTTTGAATTTCTAAAAATTATTTTATCGTGTATGAATTATAATGAGTGCATACAGACCAAAGAATTTGTTTGCAAGCAAGGGAAATTTAGAGCACGAAGTGGCGGTTTTCTTAGAGAAGAAGTTGCAAATCCGTTCTGTAAATTTTTTGCGCATACATACATACATATGTAGTTGTATATTTGTCGGCATTAATTTGAATTAAACAGCTCGTTAGTAGTAAGTAAATATTTGAATACTTAATTAATTGATTAAATCGGAGTGCTGTTGCAATCCTAGTCGATATAAGAAATCCGATAGATAGGGAAAACGCACTCGTATATCAAGGTGCCCTCAAACAGACGCGTTGCGGTAAATTCTCGTACCAGTCGTTCGAGAACCACTCAAAAAATGGAATTTTTCCATTACAGTACACTGCAGCACAAGAAAAAATTTTGTCCTTAAAAATCCTTAAAAATTTGGAATATTTTTTTTTTTTAATTATTGTTTGAGGACTAATATATGTACATACGATCACATCATAGAATTTCGTCCTGCAAACTTTATTAAATTGAAAAGATAAAATTATTAAAAGCACATTTTCAATACCTATTCGTACTTGTAAACCAAAAAACTTTATTGTTTTTAAATTCAACAGAAGTTTCTCTTTCATTTGCTGCCCATATTGTTATTCTACATTGCACTGATTTTTTTAATAATTTTTTGGATTAATTACATCTTGGAAAAATATGCGCATGTAACCATAAGTGGGCGTGGCTACGCCCATTTGCCAAAATTTTTTAATAGTCTTATTTTCCGTCTAAAACTCATTGTAAATATAAATTATCTTCAGTAGTTACTAAAATATCGCAGTTTTCGTATTTCTGAAAATTACCGTTATATGGGAGGTAGGCGTGGTTATTGTCCGATTTTGCCCATTAGTAGTATTAGAAGTACACGTACCAAGTTTCGTTAAGATATCTCAATTTTTACTCGAGTTATCGTGTTCCCAGACGGACGGACAGACGGACGGACGGACGGATAGACAGTCACCGCCTAATCGATAAAAACTGTCAATTTCTTACTCGCTCGTTTTTAGGCATGCCATTCTTACGAATTTCGAAAGTTCGAAAATACGATAGGGGTGTTAAGCTATGTTTCAGCTGCTTGGGGCAGAACCATCGTTCCACCAACTGTAGCAGCAGGAGCAATTGTCGCACCTTTGGAAAACGACACCATACGCTCTTGCATGCTAATCGCGTGCATGCACGTTGCAGTTGCAGCTGAAACACTTAAGGATTCCGCCTTGCCAAACTGGGATGTTTTATTACCGACTTCAATCATCACGACTAAGAACTTCGAGGGTGAAACTCTTCCCTTTCCAGCCTCTTTGGATCAGGGATCCCAAGCATCATTTGTAACTGAACGTGCAGTGCATCTGCTACGCGTGCCACGTCTCAAAGCCATATTAATGTCATTGGGATATACGAAACAAAGGCTGCTGTCATATGTCATTCTGACCATAGGCTCAAGATTTGATAGTAGTATTCAACATCGGGTATTAGCTTATGTTCTACAGAAATTAAGTCATGTGATGCCACCAAGGGGATGCCGCCAAAACTTTGGGCCCATTTGAACGGGGCGCAAATTATGACGACATTATACGTGGCGAGGAAACTAGGCCGAGCCGATTGGCCAATACACCTTATAAATATAGCCGCATTCTATCCGGGCAATTAAGCACGCTCCCAACCAGTGTTGCCAGTAACTGGGTTAATAAAATCCCATCCAAATATAACCTAAATCCCGTTTTATACTAAAGTTATAACAGAAATCCCGCGCTGTATTTATATATATATTATACATAAAATGCTTTCCGATGAAAAACACAAGTATTTGCATTAGAGTGGTCCAAAAATGCGTGTGAAAAAGTAAAGTCGGAAATTTAATGCGATGTTATATACCGAAAAAATATAATCCTATTTCTTTATTAACCGAGTTCCAAAAAAGGAAGAGGTTATCAGTTCGTCGGAATATTTTTTTTTTGTTTATGTATGTTACCGCATAACTTTGGACCGCGTCAACCGATTTCGATAATCTTTTTTACATCGGAAAAGCAGTGTCTCTGAGGTGGTCCCATACTAATCTGGTTTAAATCCGATCATTGGATCATAAAATATATATATATATATATATATATTTTATATGAGAATTGAAGTCGGTTTTTTTTGCTACAAATTACTTGTTCATATTAATTATATTCTATATGTCCGCCAAAAACTCCAGAAAATGCGATGACTGTTTATTAAGTAAATTAGGTACATTTTACTACACACATTGCATTTAATGCTTATTCGCTTATTCTGATTATCTTTTTCGTTTTAATCTCAATAAGCAATGAAAAAAATCGTTGGTAGTTAGCATTAAAATTACTTTACAAAACTATATTTTTCATAAAATTTCGATATAGGAAATCTCCACTGCCATTTTGTTAACGACTACCTCCCAACGTTTATACATCGCTAGTTTTACTTTCTTTGATAACAAAAGCACTCACAATAATTTTCCATTCCTTGTTTAAATGAAACTGGTCAATATCTGTATACCGCTATGCTCTCTAAGGACTTACATTAATTTACAACAACTTCAGAATCTAGAAACTCAAGACATTTGAAAAGAATTATTGATTAGAAATTTTTCTAATTTTTTCAAAATACTCTTAAACTTACGATTAAAATTAATTTCAAGTGAATGAAGTTCTGCTAATAGGATTGATAATATGAACTGTTTCTTACTTATCAATTACTTACTAAATTTTATTGTTTGATATGGTATGCAAAAAATCCCGGTTTTCGACAGAAAATCAAAGTTGGCCTTTTTAGTCATAAAACACGAATGTTAACAATACAGCCTCCACCCCTTGCTATTTTCCACACCACCCGGTAGTTAAAGAATCTTATTCTACTACAAAGGTTCCTATCGTGTTTGATGCTTCGGCCAAAACAAATAACAGTCGACCTCTGAACGGCATCTTAGCTAACGGCCCGGTACTGCAAACAGATTTATCAACCGTACTAATAAATTGTCGTTTTTACAAGTACACATATTTAGCAGATGTGGAAAAGATATACCGGGCTATCAATGTCAATAGAAAGGATGCTCAGTATCAGCGCATATTGTGGCGACAGAGTAAAGACGACCAAAACTGAAGAATACTATTGTTACACCGTTATGTTCGGGATTAGATCAGCACCTTTTCTAACCATCCGTATCATACAACAATTAGCAGATAACGAACTTCAGAATTCTCCACTTGCTGTCAATGTTATCAAACATCAGATGTATGTCGACGATGTCTTGTCGTAACATAATCATAACATCGGGAAACGAAAGGATCACTGCCACTTAATACCAGAGAAACCTTTAAGTCTTTAGGTATGTTTTGAAATCCTGCGTACGATCAGTTTAACTACGGCATCAAGTTTTATATTCC